TTTTCTGCATCAAAGCCACAGTTTCTAGTAAGTTTACTAAACTCAGTATTAAAGCTAGTCATTTCACATTACATTTGAATTATGCTTAATTTATTAAGTGTTTTAATATATATCTCTCTTGATATTATAAATATATCAAGGGTTAGCTCAGATTGTTATAATGTCACTCGACAATGGCAGAATCATGACTCTGAATTTTTATTCTTTGGCAAAGTTTACTATTTTCACAACTGCAAATAATGCAAATAATGCTTAAAATGCTAGCAGATTTGCAATTACATTACAGAAAAAAATATGATAAAGAATGAGGTGAATTGGAATAATTCTAATGCTGTAAGTTTTAAATAATACAATTTGTTATTTTAGTATAAAAACAAAGGAGGCTTTCTTACCTATAGAGAGTACTGTTATGAACACATACAGATACACAATTAATATATGCAATTTTAAAACCAAATAGAACCAAGGCACATCATCAAAGCAACTATAGTGTTCCCTTTGAGTGAAGAGAAAAAGAAGGAAAAGTACATTTGAACATTGCCTGGAGGCGTCCTTACTACTGAAAAGTTTCAAGAGTCTTCTGAATAGTATGTTTCTAAGATACTCAAAGAAATTTCTTAATTATAATTGTATTGATGTATTGTATCTGAAGAGATAATTAAATACAACACTAGTTTTCTCTTGTGAAAACATATTTGTCCTGCCGAGAAAGTAACTGAGAAATAAGTTAAGTGAGTGACTCAACCTTGATTCAGAAACTTCTGTCAGAAAAGTTTCTTTTGTTAATGAAAGTGTGAGGATTAGCCATTTGATCTAATTTTTTTGTCTTAATGAATGTGAAAAACAATGGAATAGTAAAACAAATGTGTATTTCTCCCCATTAGTTGACTACACAAAAAAAGATAAGCCAAGTCAGATTATGGACTCAAAACTGAGAGCTGATGCTTTATTCACTTGGTATTATTCATCTGTTTCATCATGATGCTTGCTTTCTCTGTTTTGGACAGTCACTGAACTACTAAGTTGGACTTTTTCATTTTTAAAAACAAATTACTCTCACATGCCTGCACCCCAATGATAATTATTGCTCTGAAGGAGCAGTTCCAATTAAAAGATCTGCTGTTCATTCATTCTCATTGAGCTACTGTAATAATATCCTAGTTACTGGAGCTTTCAAGGTTACAAAATAAAACAGTGGAAAATGGAACCCATCAGCCTAGACTTACACAATGTATTTACTGCTATGCAATATATAATATCCTTTAAATCCTTAAACTCATACAAATAATTTTTTTTATTAATATGCTTTATTTTACATTCTTTTTTTTTTAAATTTTTTATTGGATTATAGGTTTTGGGGTACATGAGCAGAGCATGCACGACAGTTGCGTAGGTACACACATGGCAGTGTGCTTTCTTATCTTCTCCCCTTCACCCACATTTGGCATGTCTCCCCAGGCTATCCCTCCCCACCTCCCCCTCCCACTGGCCCTCCCCTTTTCCCCCCAATAGACCCCAGTGTTTAGTACTCCCCTTTCTGTGTCCATGTGTTCTCATTTTTCATCACCCACCTATGAGTGAGAATATGCGGTGTTTCATTTTCTGTTCTTGTGTCAGTTTGCTGAGGATGATGTTCTCCAGATTCATCCATGTCCCTACAAACGACACAAACTCATCATTTCTGATTGCTGCATAAATTAGTTCAACCATTGTGGAAGACGGTGTGGCGATTCCTCAAGGCCTTAGAAATAGAAATTCCATTTGACCCAGCAATCCCATTACTGGGTATATATCCAAAAGACTATAAATCGTTCTACTATAAGGACACATGTACACGAATGTTCATTGAAGCACTGTTTACAATAGCAAAGACCTGGAATCAACCCAAATGCCCATTGATAATAGACTGGATTGGAAAAATGTGGCACATATACACAAATAATTTTTTAAATGATTTTGTTAGAGAGCACAGCTCATTTACTCAAATTTTCAAAAGCTTTATGATCTCAGCACCAGATAACTTCAGATGAAGTTCAACAAGGCTATTTAAGAGCAAATATCATCCAATAGCTTCATTCTGACATCTTAGTGGGACAAAAAGCAGGAACTCAGGATATAAAATCAATGTGCAAAAATCACAAGCATTCGTCTACACCAATAACAGACTTAAAGAAAGCCAAATCAAGAACGAACTGCCATTCACAATTGCTACAAAAAGAATAAAATACCTTGGAATACAACTCACAAGGAACGTAAGGGACCTCTTCAAGGAGAACTACAAACCACTGCTCAACGAAATCAGAGAGGACACAAACAGATGGAGAAACATTCCATGTTCATGGTTAGGAAGAATTAATATCGTGAAAATGGCTATACTGCCCAAAGTAATTTACAGAATCAACGCTATCCCCATCAAGCTACCATTAACTTTCTTCACAGAACTGGAAAAAACCACCATGAACTTCATATGGAACCAAAAGAGAGCCCGCATAGCCAAGTCAATTCTAAGTAAAAAGAACACAGCGGGGGGCATCACACTACCGGATTTCAAACTATATTACAAGGCTACAGTAATCAAAACAGCATGGTACTGGTACCAAAACAGAGATATAGACCAATGGAACAGAACAGAGGCACCAGAGGCAACACAACATATCTACAATTATACAATCTTTGATAAACCTGACAAAAACAAGCAAGGGGGAAAGAATTCCCTGTTTAACAAATGGTGTTGGGATAACTGGCTAGCCATGTGCAGAAAGCAGAAACTGGACCCCTTCCTGACACCTTACACTAAAATTAACTCCAGATGGATTAAAGACTTAAACATAAGACCTGGCACCATAAAAACCCTAGAAGGAAATCTAGGCAAAACTATCCAGGACATAGGAGTAGGCAAGGACTTTATGAACAAAACACCAAAAGCATTGGCAACAAAAGACAAAATAGACAAATGGGACCTAATCAAACTCCACAGCTGCTGCACGGCAAAAGAAACAGTCACTAGAGTGAATCGGCAACCAACAGAATGGGAAAAAATTTTTGCAGTTTACCCATCTGACAAAGGGCTGATATCCAGAATTTACAAAGAACTCAAACAGATTTACAGGAAAAAAAACAAACAAGCCCATTCAAAAGTGGGCAAAGGATATGAACAGACACTTTACGAAAGAAGACATATATGAGGCCAACAATCATATGAAAAAATGCTCATCGTCACTGGTCATCAGAGAGATGCAAATCAAAACCACATTGAGATACCATCTCACGCCAGTTAGAATGGCGATCATTAAAAAATCTGGAGACAACAGATGCTGGAGAGGATGTGGAGAAAAAGGAACACTTCTACACTGTTGGTGGGAGTGTAAATTAGTTCAGCCATTGTGGAAGACAGTGTGGCGATTCCTCAAGGCCTTAGAAATAGAAATTCCATTTGACCCAGCAATCCCATTACTGGTATATATCCAAAAGACTATAAATCGTTCTACTATAAGGACACATGTACACGAATGTTCATTGCAGCACTGTTTACAATAGCAAAGACCTGGAATCAACCCAAATGCCCATTGATAATAGACTGGATTGGAAAAATGTGGCACATATACACCATGGAATATTATGCAGCAATCAGAAATGATGAGTTTGTGTCGTTTGTAGGGACATGGATGAATCTGGAGAACGTCATCCTCAGCAAATGACACAAGAACAGAAAATGAAACACCGCATATTCTCACTCATAGGTGGGTGATAAAAAATGAGAACACATGGACACAGAAAGGGGAGTACTAAACACTGGGGTCTATTGGGGGGAAAAGGGGAGGGCCAGTGGGAGGGGGAGGTGGGGAGGGATAGCCTGGGGAGAAATGCCAAATGTGGGTGAAGGGGAGAAGGAAAGAAAAGCACACTGCCATGTGTGTTCCTACGCAACTGTCTTACATGCTCTGCTCATGTACCCCAAAACCTAAAATCCAATAAAAAATTAAAAAAAAAAAAAAAAAAAAAAGCAGGAACTCAACATCTACACAGGTCCTAAGCACATCAGAACACTGATAGTGGTTGAGGTATTCGAGGATGGAGTTCCAAGAAAGACCCATCCAGGAGTGGGGAAGATGACCTCCAGTAAGTGAGCAAATTCCCATCTCCAAGAGTGGATAGGTTTAGTTCTTGTGTCAGGTCCCAGTGAAAATGCAAAAAATATAAAGTTGTGAAACACTCTTAGAGAGCAGTGACTCTCAGAATGGTAGTTAGAACCTTAAAATCTGCTTCTCTGTAAAGCTAATGACAACACTGCAAAAACTGTCTAAATAATCTCTTTTGGGAAATTCCCCAAGTTAACCCAAAACTTCCATCACTCTGCAGGGAATTTCTTCAAGTAAAATGGCTGAATATCAGTAAAAAAACAGCAAGGCTTGTGCCATTTTAACCTGCCCTATTCTTATCATATTTTCCCCAGTTCCACAATAACCTTGAATACCAGCAGCCTCACAGTCGTGGTAGTGAAAACGAAGAGACTGGCAGCTACTAGACATGGCTAACAGGGTTTGAATCTCCTCAGAATGCTTGTCCTCAGATATGTAATCTATCTGGAAGCTCCTTGGGAAATCTCCATTTATAAGGCTTTCTATTATTTCCTCTAGTTCAATATTCAACAGGAAAAGTCTTATCTCCAAAACATTTGTTGAAACTAATTATTTAACATGGTAACCGAGGCAAATGAGAGGTTGAGCATAAAAAAAGATGAGAATGAGATGTTTGTAGTGGGCATAGAAAAGCTCCAATATATTACTGGGAATCTAGAAAGCCCCATGTATGTCCAAAGCTGTGCATGTACCCAGGAAAACCCCCAAAGGCCCTAAACTTTAAACAAAAAGTAAAGGCTAAGACACAATTTTAAACTGCTGGAATATTAAAGGCATGCCCTAATACATACAGAGCTCCTCTGAAAAGAGTAGGATACATTGTTTCAAGGAAAAATCAGTTTAAGAAAATCTCTGTCTTACCTTTAGCTGACCAGTAAACTAAGCAAGCCATGACTTCAGTGCTCTTCAGGACAGGAAATAGAGACTTTGTAGAATTCATACAGCAAAGCTGCTACACAAACAGAAAGAAAAACATTAAATGACAACAACATCCCTAGGGAAGCAGAAAACCTGATTTCCACAATTATCACATTATGGAATGTGCAATATTCAACAAGGTTATAAGACACGAAGGGAAAAAATGTAGTCAATAAAAACTGTCCCTATGGAAGCCTAGATACCGTACTTACTAAACAAACAACTTTAAATCAGTTATTGCAAATATGTTGAAAGAACTGAAAGAATCCCAGCCTAAATAACTAAAGTATGAAGTGTGTCTTAGCAAATAGAGAATATCATTAAGGAGACACAAATTATATTTTAAAAATAGCTACATAGAAATTCTGGAGTTGAAAATTAAAATAACCGAAAGGAAAAAATCATTACAGGGACACACATCAGATTTGCACTGGCAGAAGATATACTTTGTGAAGTTGAAGGTAAGTCATTGAAATTGCCCAGTCTGAAGAAAAGAAAAAGAAAAGAAGGAAGGAAAATGAACGCAATCTCAGAGATCTGTGAGACACCATCAGGTATATCAACATATGCATAATAGGAGCCCCAGAAAAGAAGGGAAAATAGAAAGAGGCAGAAATACTATTTTAAGAAATAATGACTGAAAACTTTCGAAATTTGATTAAAATGTTTTTAAGTTAAAATGATAATTGCAAGTATTCACTTCATAGATATTTGTCCCGCTGCATTTCTAATATCTTCTGAAACACAAAGTATAAATCCCTCAGCTTTAATATGCCTACTTGCCATTTTTAGTGCAATGGAAAAAAAGGAATATAAAGCAGTAAAACATTTTTGTTCATTGTTAAATCAATCCTACTTTATCTTAATTTACATTTTTCAGATGAATACATCTTAGTGTATAATTGTCAATTTGTTAGCAAAAAAATCTACCAAATTATTTTAATGTATGTTATTAATTGTATTGAAAACAGTTTATTTTAAATATATTTTTATTTGATAGTTTTTCATACCTTTTTCATTTTCTGCCTTATAGCCCTTTAAAAACATGGAATGAGATTGCCTATTTAGAGGGATAGTCTAAGTGACACTTATTTAGCCTCTCCAAGGTTTAAAACTATATTAATTCTGAATCGGATTACTTCACAATGGGAAGAATTGCTCCTTCCACAATCATTTCTTGCATATATACTATGTACTCTGTACCAGGTACTAGGATTGTAATAAAACACCCAGTATCTGCCAGGCGCAGTGGCTCAAGCGTGTAATCCCAGCACTTTGGGAGGCCGAGGCGGGTGGATCACAAGGTCAAGAGATCGAGACCATCCTGGTCAACATGGTGAAACCCGACTCTACTAAAAATACAAAAAATTAGCTGGGCATGGTGGCGTGTGCCTATAATCCCAGCTACTAAGGAGGCTGAGGCAGCAGAATTGCCTGAACACAGGAGGCGGAGGTTGCGGTGAGCCGAGATCGCGCCATTGCCCTCCGGCCTGGGTAACAAGAGCGAAACTCCGTTTAAAAAAAAAAAAAAAAAGCCTCTAATCCCAACACTTTGGGAGGCCGAGGCAGGTGGATCACGAGGTCAACAGATCGAGACCATCCTGATCAACATGGTGAAAACCCATCTCTACAAAAATTACATAAAAGTAGCTGGGCTCGGTGGCGCGTGCCTGTAATCCCAGCTACTCTGGAGGCTGAGGCAGGAGAATTGCCTGAACCCAGGGGGCGGAGGTTGTGGTGAGCTGAGATCGCACCATTGCACTCCAGCCTGGATAACAAGAGCGAAACTCCGTCTCAAAACAAAACCAAAAAAAAAACACCCAGTATCTATAAAGCACTTTCTATGTGCTAAACACTATAATAAGCAATATATGTACACTAACATATATAAACATTCTAAGCCCCCTAAGAAGTGAACACTATTATTATCTCCATTCCACAGATAGTGACAATGAGTCTCAGAAGGAGTAAGTAACTTGCTTAAGATCATACAGCACTTACAACTCTTAAGAGTTAAGTCTGGATATTAATCTGGGCAATCCCGCTGAGAGTACAAGACCTTCCTCATTCCATTAGACACTAGGAGAAGACTGGCATCAATGAGTCAGATGCAATTAAGTTCAGTTAATGTAGTTGTGGAGATAAGTACTTTGCACTAGAAGAGCACAGGGGTGGGACCTCCTAACTTACCTTTTAACATGAAGGTAGGTTTCTCCACAAATTGATATCCAGACTAATATACTTCATAGATATTGTTATTATTAATATTAAAGGATAAAGTATCTTGATAAAGGATACTTTAAGAGGCTGTACAGGTATCACAGCAGAGGAAATACAATGGCAAATATCCCGATGCAAGAAATATTAGAGCAATGAGGAGTCATCTAAGAAGTTTAGTAAATTAGACTGCATTCTATACTCAAAATTGGGAGAAATTAAGCCATCAAATTTAGAGACAAGGCCAAGTGCGGTAGCTCATGCCTGTAATCTCTGCACTTTGGGAGGCCAACTTGAGGCGGGTGGATAACCTGAGGTCAGGAGTTCAAGACCAACCTGACAAACTTGGAGAAACCCCATCTCTACTTAAAAAAAATATATTAGAGACAAAAAATTAAGGGTTCTTTGTAAATAAATTTATGAAAAAAAATGTTCAACATCACTAATCATTAGGGAAGTCTAAATTAAATCCAAAACAAAATATCGCCTTATACCTGATAGAATGCCTGTTATCAAAAAGATGAAAGATAAGTGTTGGCAAGAATATGGAGAGAAACAAACCCTTGTACACTGTTGATGGGAATGTAGGTTAGTACAGACATTATGAAAAACACTTATAAGTAACAGAAGTTCCTCAAATATCCAGAAGTGGAATGACTGATCCAAATGGAATGGAGATCCAGCAGTCTCAATTCTTGAAATACAAGTAAAGAAATTTAAATCAGTGCTAAAGAGATATCTGTACTGCTATGTTCATTGCAACATTGTTCACAGTTGCAAAATATAAAATGAACCTGTGTTCATAGAATAGTTTTCCATAGAATGGATAAAGAAAATGTGGTACATATATACAATGGAATACTATTCAGCCTTAAAAAGGAAATGTTTGTCATTTGCAGCAACGTGGATGAACTTGGAGGACATTATGCTAAGTGAAATTAGCCCAGTACAGACAGACAAACTACATGATCTCATTTACATGTAAAATGTAAGAAAGTAAAACCTACAGTAGTAAAGAGTATAATCGTGGTTACTAGCATCTAGGGGTGGAGAGGTGGTGAGAATGGGAAATGGGGAGATGCTGGTCAAAAGGTATAAAATTTCAGTTGGACAAGAGGAATAATTTTTTGAAATCAATTACACAATACAGTGACCATAGTTGCTAATAATGTATCGTATATTTCACAATTTCTAAAACAATGATTTTAAGTGTTCTCACTACAAAAAAAAATATGTGAAGTGACAGATATGTTAATTACCTTGATATGATTATTTCACAAGGCACACATATATCAGAACTTTACATTGTACCTTATAAATATTAGAATCATTAATTGACAATTTATTTTTTGAAATTTTTGTATGTTAGCTTAGTACGTTTAAATTTGTGCTAAGTGCAGCAAGTAATGAATGAGGTATAAGGGAAGCAATTTTCAAATTTGAATTTTAAGATAACTCACTCCGATTGCAATGTGAAGAGTAAATTGGAGAGGATCAAAACGTAGAAAGAGAGAAAACACTTAGGAGCCTGTTGTATGTGATAGAGGTAATGACCATTGGAAAGGTGATGCAACACTGTGAAATATGAAAGATGGTGTAACAGATGTGATATGTGAAAGACGATCATGTAAAGTGGGGATCTGGGAAACTTTTGGAATACTATTTTGTTAAGTGACATGGAGCATGGAAGCACAGGAAGGAATCAGGGATAATTCCCAAGTTTCCTTAACTAATCTCAGAAAGCCCTTTTTATAAATGTCTTTTAATATTTTACTCTGCTGTTATAAACAGCAACAGCAGAGTAAAGGATTACAGTTTTACAGAAAAAAATAGCAAACTCATGCAATAAATCCCTCTCAGAAATCTGTATCAAAGTAACATTTTCCTACCTTTTGAACTGGTATATTCCATTTTATTACCTAATAAGTCATGTGTCCCAAAAAGCTCCAAGACAAATTTTGTTTTCAATTCTAACTTTTTTTTTTTGCTTAGTTGTCTTATATAACCAACTTCTACCATCCTGTACCCTTTCTCATGTACCCATAATTTCTTGATTTTGTTTTTGTGATAGGTAAATGTTAAATGGATGTTATAAATGAACTAATACTAATGCTTTTTTTTTTTTGACAATCTAATTAGGACAGAAAAGATTAATGTACTTAGAATACTGTACTAATAAAATTAATGCCAAGTGTGTATAAAATTAAAGAAGAACAAGAAATTAGAAAATCACTCAAGGTAGGGAATTAAGACAAAGTTTTTTCACATAAGACCATGAATTAATTTGTAATATTTATTCAGTCTGAGCTAAATAAATTTAATTTGAATCTAGTATTTTTAAAACTACGGAAAAGAAAAAATAAACACCACTAGACATAAAATCAAATAATTGTAAAACAACTCAAGCTTTTTAGATTGCTAACAGACAGCAATTGGTCAAATGTAGTCAACCTTTTGAACATTTAACTATTAGGAATGATGAGTTATTTTTGAAACTATTTCTTGAAATCATTATATACTTGCACAAATTGAATGGACTTGGGATATATTTACAGCTTAGGGTTCCTAGCCTTTTTCACTACAAATCTACAATACTAAAACCACTTAAAAATCAAGAATTATATAATTATAGCATTTATCTTTATATCAATTTAATACAAGTCGTTCAGTAGGTATGCATATTAACACACATATTTCACATTCTTGGAAATGTCTACTTTAATATTTATTGAGATCCCAGAGGTACCACAATTTATTATAGTCAGTTGTATATTGGCACTCGCAAGTAAACAAATAACTATATTAGAATTAATTACACT